AGGTCCATCTTCCTGGAGGAAGAATCTTCCACTCGTTTTTTGGAGAGCAGAGGCACCGGATGCCTATGGAAGGGCTGGAGTGGACGCCCAGCTCTCGCTTTGCACTGCACAGGTCGATACTCCCTGTGCTGAACCCTTCAGTGTCCCTGATAACACGGAGCTGACTCGATCTCCTAAGCACCTGGTAGCAAGGGGTGTGCACCCAGATTAGTGCATTTATTTTGGGAGGTATCTGAACGTAACAGGGCATGGCCAATAAATCAAACACTAAAAGGCCTTCTAATGAAAGGCAGTATTAAGTAAAGCCCAGCCAAAGTCCTTCAAAGACCAGATGTTTAGCCCTAGGGCTCAAAGCGGCTCGAGAGAAGACTGAGCTTTGACACCGTGGGTGTTTTTTTCCATTTTCCTCCAGAAACACTTTCATAAAAGCCTGGAACAATTAGAGAGGTATCTGTAGTCTTAACTCTCTTTGCAAGAACAGACCGAGGCCAAGGAATATGGTCCTTCCCAATCCAGAAGCCGTAACGTCTCACCAGGTGAAACAAGCATCGCGACAGGACGGCCAGTTTTCCGCCTCCCTGGGGTTTTGTGCTGCCTGTTCACAGCTTGCACAGGCGCCCGACCAGCCGCGCGCACGCTGGGCACGGCGAGCGCGGCGGGGCGCAGGGGATTCGCGCAGCTCCTCAGCTTCCCACCGGCACCGAGCCCATCAGAACACAAAGCCGCTCCTCCGAAAAAGTCCAACCACTTCGAAGCAGTGGTCGGTTCACACAGGTTCTGCAATATGGGCCACAGCACGTTCACGTTTTTTTTTTTTCCTTCATTTTGACAGCAGCATCTCAAAAAAGGCACTTAAAGGCTTTGTGAAGCACAAGCCTCTTCCTCCCCGTAACATTTCAACAGGGCCACAGGGACACACCGAGCTGAACAATCAACTCTAATACAGGCCTTTTGTTTCCTCCCAAAACTAAGGCACACGGAGCAGTAGATCCAGTGCAGTTAACAACTCAAAAGCAGAGTCTGTATTGCTACCAAATGTCGATTTGCTTGGTTCCAGCAGTAATGCCATCAACGTGAGGACAACTTGAATCACTCAGGTAGAAAATAAAAACCTCTTCACTTAGACAAACAGTTTAAGCCAAGTAACAGCAGCGGGAAACCTGATTTGCTTGTTGAGTACTTCCCAGAGCAGCTTTTTGGTCACTGTTCAGCTACAAAGCAAAGGCCAGAGGGAGCAGATACTTTCCTTCCATTAAAGGAAGCCTTAAAGACAGTTAGGGCAGACTGATGGGGTCACTGATCCCCGTGCCCCTGACGTAAACATTGCAACCATCTTGTAAGAAAAATAAGGGCTTAAAATAAACCAAAATACTAATAACTGATGCTAAACCCAAACACTAAGTTCCAAACATTAAGAACAAGGAGACGGGTTTTCCAAAGGCACTTTTAAAAGGCCTTGGCCAAAAGGTTAACAGTAATTCCGCCATTAGCTTAAAATAAAGCATTGCATGAAGCGTTTGTACACGTTTTGAAGCACTCTGCCCACAAGCACCCGCAGTTACAGCCCAGGCCTGTGACTGCACCGCCGTCTTGGAGGTCGACACCGTCCCCGTAAGGCCCGGGAAGACGAAGGCAGAGCAGGACACGGGCTCGCGGCCAAAGGGAGCAGCAGCACCTTCAGCAACACCAATGGGGCCTCCAAAGACCTAACTCATCCCCGGACCACCCCGCAGATGGCGTGAGACACAAAGCCACAAGCAGAGCAGGGCACAATCTAAATTTCGGTAAAGTATTTCTGCCGGGGAAAGGGGCAGATGCCAAGCACGCTGAAAAGAAACTTATTTTCCAAAGCATTGCATTGAAATTCCTGTCATGCACAAGAAATCAGAGGAAGTTTGCACTTTGCACCAAGAAAAAGCACAAGGAATTTACTACAGTCCATCACAACAGTGACCGACCTAACGGTTTCAACACTTCCAGCCTAGTTTATCCAGAACACTGGAGGAAGCTCCATTTAAAACAAATGGGGTGCCCAAACACACAAAATGAATCCCTCCTTCCTGCATGAAAAAGTGATGCTTTTAAACACTAGCTGTTTGTGAAAGCTCTCATCCCGCTGCGTATTTGATGCATGTCATTTGCAAAGGGATTAGAAACCTTTTCAATTAGTATTTTGGCAAAAATAGCACAAAATAGAAAGAGAAGGAAATGTGTTGCCCTGGACAATCCACCACTGCTGGTAGGTCAGTTCTGCATTCACATGCAAGGTAGATATTAGTAAGAGACTATGCAGAAGTTTGCAGAGCAACCAGGTAAGTGCATTTTCCCAAGAAATGAAACTTCTTTCAGCAGCCAAATGGAGAAGAGAATTCTAACATTTAACAGAAGAACCAGAGAGGAAGAATTTCTATTAGATAAACAGACTATTAAGGCTTGAAAGTGTACGACAGAATCAATTTTTCTATCTGAAACTGCGAGCGGCAGCCCATGTGTCTCCCTGGACCCCACCACTTATTGCCCTAGCTCACGTCACACCTGCTCGAGCGCCAGTGCCCAAGGCACCCGCGCACAGAACCACAGAACGGTTGGGGTTGGAGGGGCCCTCTAGAGATCATCCAGTCCAACCCCCTGCTCCAGCAGGGACACCCAGAGCACGGGGCACAGGGCGGCATCCAGGTGGGTTTGGAGACCTCCAGAGAAGGAGACTCCACAGCCTCCCTGGGCAGCCTGTTCCAGGGCTCTGGCACCCTCACAGTCAAGAAGTCCTTCCTCACCTGGAGGTGGAACTTCCTCTGTTGCAACTTACACCCATTGCCCCTTGTCCTGTCACTGGCCACCACTGAGAAGAGCTTGGCCCTTTCCTCCTTAGATTCCCCCTTCATATACTTATATACATTAATCAGATCCCCTGCACAAGTCTGCACTGGGGAGTTCCAGTCCTGCTGACTCACCTCCTCCAGCCTAGTTCTGTGCTTTACCAGGTTATCTGTCTATCAGGGAAGTGCAATGCTGACATTTAATGCTGTGGGGTTTCCCATCTCCGCCTCAGGATCACCAGCCTGAGGCCACTGAAGGGAGACCACACAAAACCCTGCAGCGCCAGCGACTCCAGGGTGGCCCTGTGTTAGTCTTGAATTCATGGTCTGCACTTAGGCCAGAGGGAGCCAAGGGCCCCACGTTCCCGTGCGGGAAGGTCAGAGGCAACACGTGGGCAGGGCCACCTGAGCTCCCGGCACCGCATCCCTGACCTGGGCCAGCAAAGGGGACCTCGGACTAGAGGGAAGGCAGAGGGGGCAGCCCGGCCTCCACCTGCAGGTGTCTGCATGAAGGAATTCCAACCCCACGCTGGGTCGTTCTAAGTTTATTTGAGGTGGACATGCAGCTTTGAAGCATTTTTTACAGTTTACTTAAACTGCAGCATCTCCTCTAAATCTATGGAAATTAACATTTGTCATAAGACATTACAACAAAGTCAGACTTTATAATAAACTGGCTGTTTTGTTATCATCTGCATCAAGATGAAACACCCACGGGGAAGCCAAATAACCCCAACCTCCCAAAAAAACACAACACTGGCAAAACCCCCACTGTTTGGGGATTGGGTCCTGTCTTCAAGCACCGTCTGTGCTCCTCAGCAAAAAAACACAGTACTGAAGCACCACGAAGTCTGCAGAACCTTGAAAAGGTGCAAAACTTCTGTTCTTCCCCAAATGGAGTAGGTATTTCTTCCTTCTCCTACTTCTGCTGTTCTGTTTGGTTCTACAGAACAGCCACTACTGGCCAGGGGAGCATTTAAGAGCTACTGACTCCACTGCAGCAGGTGGTTAGAGGACCCTGCTGGGGGTGACGAAGAGGAGCAGCTCCTTCGTTAGGGTACCCAATAACAGAGACACTTGTTAGTGCAAAGCTGGTGGTGCTCAGCAGAAGGCCTGGACTGATCGTCTGAAACCTGCCTTGGTTTACACAGTGAGCCAGCCTAAAGAGCTCAGGGAAAGCCAGATGTCCAAAGCCAGGATTGAGAACTAAACAGCCACAATTTTTGTCTGCCTTTATCTATGACACAGAAGAAATACAGAAACCAAGGAATCTTTCACTGAACTTTGAAAATCTGGTCTTCCCTAAAAATTAACACTCTGCTTCACTCCATTAATGTATCAAAGGTGTCTGTCCATCTCTCTGTGTTTGGGTAATGACTAAAAAGAGTAAGGTATTTTAGCCACCTATTTTAGCCAGCTTTCATTCCCATTTTGTAAAAGGTTTCTCCAAAACAACTGTGCTCATTCCCAATATGGATAAAAATGTTATCGTTCAAATTTTTTTTTATTGTTTTCTTGGGTGTTTATGCCCATTAGGGATTATTTCTAAAGGGTTTTATAACTTAGATCTTCAGAGATTTTTTTTTTAATGTAGAGAGTAACTTTGGCCTAAAGAAACAGACAAAAAAAGTACCTATTAAGGGGAAAGATGGAGTTAGAAAGGCAGCCTCTGAATGCTCCTTAGAAACAGGTGCTTCAAACAAAGGTTTGAAAGAGAAATTTAAAACCATGTTTTCCCTCACCCCGAGGAAAACATCTGCAAAGAACAAAGGCCCTCAGCCTCAAGCTTGAAGAAAAAGGTGTTGGGAAGAAGAAAATAAAAAAAAAAAAAAACCACACAGGAAAAAAAAGCACTGTTTTCCCAAGATGCCCAAATCACACACAGACACAAGGAGGTTACCAATGCCATTCATGAAAGAATGCACCACAAACATCAGCATTTATTCATTTTGAATTTCTTTTAGCAAATGACAAAAGACCCAGCTCACTGGCTTCACTTTTGTTCACCTTTTGCTTACATTACACATTGAAACATTTGTCAAAACTTACTAAGTTGTCTGCATTCATGCACAACTAGAAAACATCCTTAATTTATTTAAACCAGAAATGCATTACCAGAAATGTATTAACATTGTTCACTACTAAATATTAAAAAAAAAGTTGAAATTATTAAAAATGTTATCCTGGAAATGTTAACTTCACAGCAGACTTAAACTACTAATTGGTTCACATTCAAACAAATTGGAAAAAAAGCAAGATTCATGCTAGTGTTAGTGTACATCTCGCCCTAGCACTACTGAAGGATTATGGTTCACCTTGGATCATATATAATAAAAAGAAAAGTGCATACAGAAATTTACAACAATTTTAAGGACAAAAAATGGTCCTATCGATGTGGTCCCAACAATTAACTCAAAAGTCTATGACAAGTACAAGCTCCGCTGAGCTATTTATACTACTTAAGATTAAGTACGGATATACAGAAAGTTGAGTTCGTTTGGAATCTTCAAAAAATGTTCCTGTCAATCCTCAAATGGTGGCTGTTAGAGCTTAAAATTTCGGTTAAGTGCGTGCGTTGAATTACTTGTTATCCAAGCGTAGCACCTGCTCCTTACCATTTATTGTTAGCGACCTTAGCTGCCCATCTTCTTCGACTTCTACCCTCTCTTGCCCGTTCTCAACAATTCTGCAAGACAAGAACAGAAATAAGCACTGCAAGATCCTCACGTGCTGCGAGCAGCCCGACCACCCGGAGGGAGGTGTGGGGATGACGCAGGTTCGTGTCCTATCCGGGACAGCGACTACTTAATGCCTCTGTATTTGGCAAGTGTTTGTATTTAACAGTGCAGGGGCTGGAGGTAAAAACCAGCTGCACCCCCCCATGGTGGCTGCTCATTGCGAGTAGGAAAATTGCCTGCCCAAAGTCTGAGTGTCCCAGTTCCTGCCGTCCCCTCATCCATGGGTCACAGGGTCACCACTCACTGTTAGCTAGAACTAAATGTCCTCTGATGGATTTGCAGTGTACAAATGCTGCCTTTAATATTTGCCCTATTTGTTACATGCAGAGTATTATAGATTCGATCACTATTTTGGATGATGTAGAGCACACAAGACAGGCTTTAATTCACTTTTAATTGGGTAAGAGCAATTAATTTGGAAACATACTGCATGCCAAGTTCATGACTAGCATGTACTAGACAGAATTTAACCATCTCTCGCTGGAAGTTGGGATCATTAAAGAGCTGAATTTTTTTACTTTGATTTCTCTGTTTTAAAATACAATCGCGAAGCAGTTTGGTTTTGACAGCAACACTGACAGAAAACATGAAATAAAGACTTGGGAATGGGAAGATGATGCAAATTTAAGCTATTTTTAGAACACTTAACTTATGGCTAGATTTTAGAAAGGTAACATACCCTAGACCTCTTCTCTCATGACACAGGAAAACAAGGAAACAAACAAAGCCCTGACAAGAACAGATGCAGACTTTCCTGCAGATGAGCCTTGCTGAGCAGAATACACCCACACTAAAGCCAGGGGAAGGGTATGAGAGAAGGAAAATGTTACTCAGAGCCTGCCGGACATCCCAAGACAGGGATGTTCTCATGCACTTGGCCACCTCAGGGCAGACACCTGTAGTGCAACAGCCCATCCGAGCAGGATGCTTCCAGGAAGCACCTTTGCCAAGGACATTTCTCCCTCTTTTATGCTGTCAATGCAGAAGGCATTTAACTCAAGTAGCCTCTTTTGCCCTCAGGACAGCAAATCACACTCAGTCCTTTTTGCAGTCTTTCTTTACACTGCCCCATAGGGTGCATTCCCTCAGAAGGGGACAGCTCACATTTTCTAGAGAAGAGCCTTGCCCTTCAAAGTCTGGGACACAAGTTACCAGAGAACTGCTTCCCATGCTTTTCCATAGAGGTTCAGTTCTGAAATTACATTTAATCACTTCTTCAGCACTCCCAACGCTTCCCGATCAGCGTGTTCCATACGTCACCCTATACTCCCCAGTACTTGTGTTTCCTCAACGCCACAGCTCCTTCGTAACCAGCATGAAGTAGTCAGAAGGTGGAGTGTCTAGGGCTTAAACACATTTTTCCAGTAAACGGAAGCATTTTCCAGTAAACTAGGAAGCACTTCCCTGTTCCCTGAAGGCTTCTTGGTTCTTTTAATTGCTGAGCCAAAGTTCTGTGTCACACAAGGAACTACCTTCACTCCAGCACTGCCTGGGAAAGGGCACTCGAGCAGAAACATTGCGAAAAGGGTTTCATAACATCCATATGTCTGTCAAGATAATGTCTATCTATATATACATATATCTAATGTATATCTCTATGTCTATCTATAACATCTATCAAGAAAGGCTTCTTGATCTCCTGTTAGCAACTTTACGGTCAGCAGAAAACAAGATCACTTCTCTCCAGAGGCTCGAGCTGACCTGGCAGACAGCAGGCAGGGCCCATGGTAATAAGAAATAATAATAATAATAATCACTAAAGGGAAGGGGATGAGGGTCTGGGAGGAGCCCCACAGCCACATCCCTTCAGGCAGCAACTAAACTGATGAGAGCTCAACAGCCACTGAACTAAACACACGTGTTAATCAGGGCAGCTCTTAACCCACCTGGGCCCTCCCCAACTCCTCGTGGGTTCATCCACATTTCATGCAAGTCAACAAGAACCAAGGAATCCAAAGCATCTTCTCCACTGCCCCCCACCTATTTTTTTCTTTTGTAATTCAGGGAAATCAAAACCATATGATAATCACAACATCAAAAGTACAGATATACACATATATACATACAAATTCATAAGAACCCATTTAGATGACTCACCTCTTTGTGGTAATTTTTCTGCCATTAACTATTTTAGTTGAAGTTGATACTGATTTGAAGTTACCCATCCCACTGCCGCCAAATGACGTTGAGGAGAAGGAGGTGAGGCCGCCATGTCCCAACGGGCCAAACGAAGTAAAACCTATTGGGGAAAAACCCACAAAGCTGATGTGAAAAGCACACGATGGAGACCCGGTTCCATGGATTTAACAGCTACTTGGACTACATCCGAGCTTCAGGACATCCTTGTTGGTTTTGTCAGCACAGCACCCTTAAGCACCCAGGTAAGGATAAAACATTGTTTCCAGCCCCACCGAGGCCCATGGTTGGGGTCCCTGGTGTAGAGGCCTGTTCAAAAAATGTTCCTCATCTTCCTTGAGGGAAAGGCATTCAAGCCTGTCAGCTGAACTCAGCTATTAAATCATTCTTCCCTTTTGAGAAAAGAAGACAAACAACAGCCCTAAGTGCGAGCATGACAGTCAAGCACCCCAGAACTGACAGCGAACCCTATCATGGATTTTAGGCACGTAACTCCCTGGTGTATTTTCATGACCTTAAATTAAGCTCATCCATCAACGCTGAAAAGCAAACAGATCAAAAGCCATTCTTAAATCACTCAGAAACTGGAGCACCAGAAGTTACGAACACAACATTTTGCTTTGCAGAGGTTTGTTAATGCTCATCAAGCCCCATGTAAAGCAAACAGTAACTGAGGCCTTTTCAGAGAACAGTTTTAACTCAGAAATTGCCTCAAGATTTGCTGAGCCAAGGCAGCAACTTTTAAGAATTTACCAACTTCTTTTACTGAGACACCCTGTGACCAAATAACCCCGGAAACTGCAGTATTTACCTGTGTCAAATGAAGAGAAACCACTTCCAAAAGCAGGGAATCCACCAAAGGCAGAGAAGAACGATCCACCACCTCTGTTCCTGTTCCTTGGACCCCGTCTGTTCCCGAAAAAGTCCTCAAAAGGATCTTCTACAAAACAGAAGAAAAAGCACATTTAAGAGGGCAGTGTGACCGAGTGATGGTCTGAGATAATAATTATAGGTTCTCCAATTAAAAAATTCCCTGTCACAGATTAGACTATCACTTCATTTTAAGTATTTGATGCCATTAAGGCAAACAGCCCACTAAAGGAGCAGTTTCCTATTCTCGTCTAAGTTTTGTTTCCCTTTTAGGCCTCCAAATAGTTTTAGAAAGAATCCAATCTCCTTTTTAGTGCTTTATTATTAAAAATTCTAAGTAGTAACACAAACTCCTGTGCATTTATCAGTGTAATATAAGCCACAAGAACTGCACAAACAGAATACATACACAGCATAGCACACTGCAGGTGTAATAGAAAAAAAATATTTATTTGAAGTTAACTGCATTCAATCAGTTGCATTTGAGACATTTAGAACTTCAGAGGCAGCTCAAGGCAGAGTCACTGCGAGGCCAGTCCTTCGGTTGCTCCTCCACAGAACTCCCTACTGTCAAGGGCAGCTTTCCCAGCTCTACAATGCGAAGCAGCACCGAGACAAAAACCCACCTCACAGAAGTGGGCCCTTGTGCTATCACACCCAGGTACCCAAACTCTTTTAGTTCTGCCCTGCCTTACTGCAAACCCGCCTAACCAGCTGTCTGCAAAGCAGCTCGCAGGCACTCTGTTAAACAAGTGAAATATAAAAAGCAGAGACAGGGACTGCTGAGTCACGGCCTCAAAGTGCTCTAAGGGATCATTTGTTGCAGCAGTGGCCACAGCTGGTGCCTCTAAGCTCTGGCGCAGGTTCAGGGGGCAAAGGGGACCTGGGTTTGTGCCACAAAGCAGCCCGGAGCCCAGCGGAGCGGAGAGGGGATGCGGAGAGAGGGGCACTCAAGTCCAACACTGACCCAGAACAGCAGCAGTTACCCAGTGCATTGCTCTATCACACTAAATATATCCATATACACACACATATACCTCTATGCATATATGTGTGCATGTATTAGACACACAAGCAAACCATATTTACTTCAGAGCAATGCAATTCTCCTATAAAACTGAAATGTTATTACTAGAATTATCTGAAAATGCCACACTTTACAAGGCTCTTAAGTGAAGAGAGCAAAGCATAAAACAGCCATCATGTAATAAAAACCAACACAATTTCGTTAAATCCCTAAGTTGGAGCTTCACAACAACCTTTTCCATCAATCCAAACTTCCCCAGAACGAGTACAGCACCAGATGATTTTTACCAGGTTTTCCACATGTGGATTTAACAGTGAAAGGTAACAGAATAAGCTACTGCATGCTGAAAAACACAGCGAGTGCAGGACTGTGAGCACGAGAGCAAGAGGAGACTTTGCTGCACGGCCCTTCAGCACCAGCACTCGACAGGGCGAGCGCCACTGACGTCCCATCTGTTGCTCCTCTGTCACCACTGCAAAAACCCAGGCTGATTTACAATAAATCCCCAAGGCCATGCTGCAGAGATGCTGCTAAAACAGGCCGAGAACAGAGATTTTAGCTGTCACTGAAGTTCCGAGTTACGTTTGGTTGCTTAACACACGTGTCACGTTGCAGCATGTTTATGCTGAACTGAAACAGCCTCTGGATCCAGGCACTTCCATCAATGAAGATACCAAAGGTGAGCACAAAAAGCAGCCCCAGATGTTCGGTACCACGAGAGGCTGAACGTTCTTACACAGAGTCAAGGCGGTTTTCTCTTCCCTTCCCCTTCCCTACCAAATTCCTGGGTATCTTTTTGGTTTGTTTTTGTTTCAAATGCAGAACAAACTTATCTTCAATACACACATGATCTCTTTCTACCTTTCAAATAAACAAAACCAACTCCCGGCAAAGAAATATAGGAACCTACCATCAAAAACAGTATTTCTAAAGCAAGCAATGCACTATAAAAAAAAGTATAAGACTAGCACTAGCATATTAAGCAGCAAGTAAAACCACTGCATTAATAGCTGTGCAGTCCAATGTATTCCTGCTGGGGTGACTCACGAGTTAGTTATGAAGGTCATTCACTCACGTGTGCACACGGTCTATATTACATTACCCCCACTGTCAACCTTGCTATTTATAGCCCATTTTTCTGCAGTTACCTGGAGGTAAAATAAAAACAAAACCATCTGCAATGTAAACGGTGGGTTTATAAGCCCCCACGCTGCCGGCTTTGCCACAGGACCATCCTTCCTAGCAGCAAAAAGGCAGGGCTTTTCAAGGGAAGGCTGCAGAGATTTTCAAGGGAAGGGTTCAGAAGCTCCTGGAAAGCTTCTGGAGAAGCTTCTGCAGAGCTCCAGCCTGATGAATTTTTGAACCTAAACCTACAAAAGCCTAACCTGGGCTCGGACTTTTTAGACTTTGGCAACCTTATCCAGCAAGGCAAGAGGTGAAGTCTCCACTTTAGCAGTGGTCTAACCTTGGGTGGATGTCTCTTTACAACCCTAAAACACAAGGCCTAATAATTTCCAACACGGTTCCAGTCATCCCCTCCAAAAAAGCCAGGACACCCAAACCCCTCCTACACTGATTAAGAAATCCTATGTGGCCAGCACGAGACAGGGATTCTTCAGAGCTTTCCTAAGGGAACATTCCCTCCCGTTATTGCTCTGCTTGTGGCCACTCAGGCACAACAAGCAAAGAGTGCCACAAAGACGGCAGGGATGCAGGGGCCAGAGGGTCCTGCACTGTCAGTGACACACAGGAGGGCAGCCTTGCAACCTCCCACACCTTACGTGTGCCTTCAGTCCCTAAATCAGGGTCATTTACGGTGCTAATCCACAAAATATCCAGTATAAGAGGGATGTGGAGCTTCTAGAGAGAGTCCAGCAGAGAGCAATCAAAATGATTAAGGGACTGGAACATCTCTCGTACGAGGAGAAACTGAGTTGGGCCTGTTTCCTCTGGAGAAGAGAAGATTGAGAGGGGACCTTATCAACATGTACAAATACCTGAGGGGGAATGTAGGGAGGAAGGGGCCAAACTCTTCTCAGTGGTGGCCAGTGATAGGACAAGAGGCAATGGGTACAAGGTGAAACAGAAGAAGTTCCATCTCCATGTGAGGAAGAACTTCTTCACTGTGAGGGTGCCAGAGCCCTGGCACAGGCTGCCCAGGGAGGTTGTGGAGTCTCCTTCTCTGGACATCTACCAAACCCACTTGGATGCCGCCCTGTGCCCCGTGCTCTGGGTGTCCCTGCTGGAGCAGGGGGGTTGGACTAGATGATCTCTAGAGGTCCCTTCCAACCTCAACCATTGTGTGATTCTGTGACTTCCTAACTGCTCATTTCCACAAGTCGCATGTGCAACACGCTCACCTCGATTACTTGAGAGAGGTCACCAGGAGAAGCAGCACAGCATCTCAGAATCTTTATAATGACATAACAGATATGCTGGCATTAGCAACTTCCTGGAGAGGAAGGCTTAAAACATGACTTTGGAATTCCACCTATACCATAATTACACGCATGTTAGGATATGGCAAATCCAAATACACACGGCATTTCATATTTATTAGACTGCTGCCCAAATGCTGAGGAGCACCTTGCAGCTGGAGGCATCTCCCACTGCCGCTGCCTGTGCCGCTCTCTTGGGGTGAGCTCCAGCGCTCATTTAACCCAAAAGCCTCAGGAAAACCAAGCCAACCAAAGACCCCATGTCATGCCCCACACATCCCCCAAGTTTTCCCAGGACCTAACTGGCTAACTCAGCTCCAGACATATGAGCACAGAAGGTGACTAAAAGCGCAGGCAGGAACACGCTGAGCAGGACCATGTTCTGTCTGAAAACTCTTTTTAATAAAACCAGGCCATTCAGAGAGTACCTGTGATTCAAGGCTGGCACTCACAGAATCCAACGGCGCCCACTCATGTCAAAGTAATGAATTAACATGTAAATATCAGAGCACACCAGAAATACCCACGGTTGTGAATTCGTCTGAAGATTAATTACAGGGAGGACACTGCTTGCAAGAGGGCTTTAATTGAAAGCCTCCTCCCACTGCAGTTTTAAGAAACAAGTTGACTAACAAATATTTTACATTAAAATGCCCAAACATCATAATTATCATCAAATGGGGCCACATGTGCATGGATTATGACCATGATCCAACTATTAGGCCTTTTGCCCCAAGAAGAGGTTACTTATTTATCAACAATAAACCTAAGTTCATCACTAGAAGTTTCCATCTCAGGGCAACAGACGCTCAAATTTCCACCTCTGGCTGTTAAACAATCACCCGCTGTCCGTGGACTAACATGCTAATGAAACCATCCTATTTCTATTCCTGTTTATGATGCAGCAGCATCATAAAATACAGATAATAAAATACGATATGCAATTACTGCTCATGAGTTTGCCCTTTTTCTCAAGGAAAAACTCTTTAGTCTGAACGCTTGAGGTAACTTGCTGTACTTGGAGTATAGAACAGTACATTTTATGTAATCCATGTTACAGCAGGCAATGATCAAGAATTCTGCTGCTTGATAAAACCAAACCACATACAAATGCACACACAGCTAGCTAGCCATACAAAGCTGTTAAAATTTTATACTATTGGGAAATAAAGGTAAAATTAAACTTAAAAACTACATCAGATAGCTCAAATTCTAAACAAAAAAAAAATCTCCCAGAACACATAAGGATTTAAATTCCTCTCCAATATTAAATTTTAGATTAAAATACACCCTGAATTTTATTCTACTACGAAAAACATTTATTGAGGCATTTGTTAAATGCTATTTCAGAAGGTCCCTTAGTATTCTTAAGTGTTTAAGCACGCTGTAGCAAAAAGGCTGAGATTATCAACTATGCAGGGAGAGACTCTGCAAAGAGACCCCTCTAACAGGCATCCTCACCAACCCACCCAGAAGCACATCCCTTCTGGAGCAGTTTGCTACATGGGACCACAGGGAAAGAAGGCTTCCTAATGGGATTCAGTTGATTAAACACACAGGCAGCTAATGCCATTTGATGTGCCCTAAAGCACCCTGCTCAACCTCCAGCTACTGCTGTGGATGGATAATGGTCCATGTGATCTTCTCATCCTATAGATCTCAGGGCATGTTGAAAATACCCGGGTATCTAAGATACCCTAGGTCATCCTAAGTGGTGCCACATGCCTGTGTATGAAGCTCAATGTACATAAAAGATGACTCAACTACTTAAGGAGCTGTCTGCACTGCTGAATGGCCCTCCAGGATAATTTTGTGCCCGTGATGCTCATTCCACCACGTGCTCCTGGAATGTCCCTGCCATCAATGCAATGCGATGCAGCCTTCCTTGAAGAGATCATCCAAGAAGCCTCTCACCCCAAAATCAACCAGTTCCTCAAGATCCTCCCCGAAGGAACCTCCTGAAGACATCCCTGAAAGTTTTAAGTACACACAACAGATTTTCGTCTATTTGGAAGTTTTCAGAGACGTCTTTAACAAAACATTACTCATTTCTGCTTAAGAGGTCTGAAAGAGCCCACCAATTAAATAAAAAGTTACTGCAGAATCTTCACATATTCTCCTCTTTTCTACACACAAATAGATACAAAGGGTCTTCTTTATAAAGGGAAGTAACTGAGAAGTGCTGCACCACAGATCAGTGGAGTTTTAACAGACTTTATTCACAGCACAATTTAGAAATTCTTCATATCCATGAGTTTACAGAGATTATACACCTGAATGCTGCTCTTTACCGTTTAATAAGCATCAGGACACACAGAGTGCCTCCTGCACTCAGTGGACATCACCCCATTCCACTTTGAACCGTACAAGAGGTACAAGCATTTTATAAAAAGTATGATTTGAAGCACCTTTACTTATTTTTAAATCTAGGAGCTAGCTGCCTTCTCCAGCTTCTCCTCTCTGGCCTCCCACTAGGTATCTCCGATGTTCCACCTCCCCTATTTTTTTAATCTTTAAATCACTCATTTCTCATCTTACATTGACATCACCCTTTTCTAGCAGCCCTTAAAATTCTTCTTCTACTGTGAAAATGCTGAAGGAGTCCCATCTCCCCAGTTGATCCTCTGCTTTCCACATCATGGAACCATGGAATGCTTAAAGTTGGAAGGGACCTCTAGAGATGATCTAGTCCAACCCCCCTGCTCACGCAGGGTCACCTAGAGCCCGTGGCACAGGGCTGCATCCAAGCAGGTTGTGAAGATCTCCAGAGAAGGAGACTCCACAGCCTCTCCTGGCAGCCTGTTCCAGAGCTGTCACCCTCACTGTTAAGAGATTTTTCCTTCAGTTCCTGTGGAACTTTGGGTGCTTCAGTTTGCGGCTGTTCCCTCTAGTTCTACCAGTGGCCACCACTGAAAAGAGGCCACCTCCCTCTCCACGCACACCCACACACTGCCTCCCTTGAGGTATTTATACACGCTGATCAGGTCCCCCTCAGCCTCCTCTTCTCCAGGCTGAACAGACCCAGCTCCCTCAGCCTTTGCTCATAGGGCAGATGTTCCAGGCCCCTGATCATCCTCGTAGCCCTGTGCTGGACTCTCTCCAGCAGCTCCACATCCCTCTTGTACTGGGGAGCCCAGAACGAGACACAGTCTCCAGATGTGGCCTCAACAGGGCTGAGAAGACTTCCATGGACTACTAGATGGTTCTTCCAGTCTACCCTCTATTTCTTCCATTGGAGTCTTTCCCTCAACTCTAGTACTCATTCTATACTGTAATCTTCATCTAGCTACTCCCTAATTCCTTAACCTTCCACTGATTCAACAACTAGCTCCTCAAATCCTTTCCAACATTTCACAACAAGTGATGACAACTAAATAGCAACTGGAGAAAGATATAAATAAAAATAGAGCTGAACTGACCTGGTAAGGCTCCTAGCAAAGATGGCAAATTACTGAGGTACAGTATTGTGCAGATTCATACAAAGACACTGAATAGGAAGCACTGTCCTTTCAGTGTCCTATATAAAATTGTTTCCTTTAAGTGGCGTGTTCCTTTTTGCCAGCATTTTGTACGTTTTAACAGTTCAAGTTATTCAACCCCCCCAATTCAGGAGCTCTCAAAGCTACATTAAGTATTTACAGATCACAGAAGGTCGAACACAGCACAGTAGACTGGACAGGATAAATACGTATCAGAATAATTTCTCCATGTTCTTTCCAAACTACAGAGACATAGCAGCCATGATTTTAAGGTTTTTAAAACTATAGCTTTAGACAAAATAGCAACTGATAAGCCAAACCTGCTCTCAAATAAACCAAGAAGAAACAGAAACCAAACAGATATTTACAAAGAGCAATATTTACCCCCAGTTTTCAGAGCTACTTCTATCCATTCTTCAAATAATAGCTACTTCTGTTTTGCACCAGTTAAGTTTTAGACACAATCTAAATTCACTGAAGTCAGAGGATTCATGCATTTAAGACCGGATTACTTACCAAAGAAGTCAAATGAAAAAGGGTCCCTTCCACCAAAGAACTCCCTAAAGACATCATCTGGGTTCCGGAATGTAAATCCAAAGTCAAATTGGTTATCAAAATGACTTCCCCCTGCAGAAAAAGAAGTCACATTTCAAATATGCTCACACATCCCTACTAATCAAGTTCAGGCCCACATGGTATTTGGGTCATTTAAACTGCCTCTAGACGTTCTCTTTTCCTCTCGTGTATCATATAACTTAAGAACACAAAAATACTTTTTAATAGCTAATTCTCTTTTGTACAATTCTAGATATCACTAGCATCTGTTAACTTGCTAAGTTCTAAAAACCTTACAATTTCTATTTTCAGGAGATCACATTTTAGCCCTTGTTATGGACATTTCCAGATTAAAAAGCTGTAGGAAACACCTTCCACCAGGATATAAGAAACAGAATCGCTAAGTGTCAACATACCTCCACCTCCATTCATTAAGCCTTCTTTTCCATACTTGTCATAGATGTCACGTTTCTTAGCTACAGAGAGAAGTTATACATTGCATCAGTGAATAAGCACATTATGTTTGGAGAAAAAAAAGTCTACTTAATCAGTATGCTCAGTTAATTATCTTCTCAAGTAATATTTAAGCAAGATCTGACATGCATGACATTTTTGTTGAGGATTGCTAAAGGGGTTTTAGGTAGTAAAATAGCAGATACTACCTTTGAAGTTTATCACCATTTACAGCACCAATTTTGCCTGACTAGGTTTGATACAGCTCCACAGTTGCTACTGAGTGGGAGTTGAAGAGCTTAAACATGAAGAACCTCAACTTATTTTGGGTGCACTGCTCCAAGAGCATCAGACAAAAACGCCATGGGAACATGATTTCCAGACTCAATACTAGGATGCTATTCCCTCTGGAATCTCTTCAGTGAAATATGTTTACGAAATTTAAGTAGCAACACTAAAAGAACATGGAGTTACCTCAAACAACTGCTAGGAAGTAAAATCCTTATGATGTAAGGGAATTACAACTCCTCATACTAGTCTGTTGCTAGCTCATGGAAACTTTCATTTTCATTTTTCCTTAAAGCCTGACACACTTAGAACACATAAATGAAGAGGGCTAACCTATACACACACAATAAAAAGTGACCAAAGTAACAAAGTGGACAAACCACAAAATAAGCCACAGAAAGCAAAGGGAGCAAGGGAACTTAAAGATCTGCATAGCAGCCACATCAATATCCTGGTTTTACCTCAAAGATTTGCTTAAGATAAAATAAACCTAGCAGGTTTACAAGGAGCTGTCCGCACATTAAGTTCCGTTTCTTCCAGTTTGCTACACCAGGTCAAATTCTGAAAGCTAAAATAGATGCTGCTACTTTCAATTCAGCTTTCCCAAGTTCCCTGGTCTCAGGTGAAAACAAGGACACTTCAGAAATAGCATAGACAGCTGCGGTCAATTATAGAAAAAAATTATCAAAGCTGCTTAGATCACATTGTTGTGAGTCAGATTGCTTCAGCCAAAACACAAGGAAAAGCTAATGCTGCTTTTATAGTTCACCTCTAACTTCTTTTGCTTTTAGAGGGATTCCTGCATCACATGGATCAGTCTAAAAAAAAAACCTGTTTCAAAACAATTTGAAATCTAAAGGCTCTCCTTGGTATGATATGTCATTAGAATTATGCAATCCACCCAAATGAAATCCAAGTTTTGAGCAAGATTTATAGAGTGCTCCGGCTTTGTAAGGACGAGGTGGTATTGCTGGAATTAGAAACAGACTATGAAAGCCAACTAGGAAAGCTGCTGATGGCTCGGAGATTGCCCGGGCTGCTTTTATTGGTGTGTCTTAACACACAAGCTGCAAAGCCCTTCCCTTCCCCCACAGTAAGGCTCATTAGAACATCAGGATACATTAAGCAGCTTAGTGGCAGGACTCAGTGAAATTCCCTCAAACCTAACCCCACACAGCCCCAGCTCAGGAGCACCCTATTCCTGAGGCACAACACTCAAGTCCCCTGTACTCAGGGTAGCTGCTTTTATCTACTCAGGTAAAACAGATCTTGATTTTCCTATGTATCTCTAGAAGGTCTAGGATTTTAAATTGCAGGGGTGAGTGTTTGGGCTACTCATCTAGGACAATGAAGAATTTTTAGTTTCAGAATTTCTGATTACTCTCTCTCATCTCTCCCTCCATCCTTTCAGGAAAGCAGTAGAGTTGGACTGGGAACCAAGCTTAAAGGCTCTTTTTAAGTGCTGGGAATGCTCTCCTCTGCATTGCTGGGGTTGTATCTGATACCTAGAGACCTACAGCCCAGAGCCCCTTTCCAAACACTTACCATCTGACAGCACTTCGTAAGCCTCAGCCACTTGCTTGAACTGCCGCTCGGCCTCCTCTTTATTGTCTGGGTTTTTATCTGGGTGCCATTTTAATGCCAATTTACGGTACCTAAAAGGCAAGGGACAAAATACTTCAAAACCAAGGAATATGCTATATGGATACACACAAGAAGCCACAAAGAATTTGTTAGTGATTAAGGCATTTAAGTTTTCTTAGAGGTTTGTATCTTTCCTCCAGACCACTACCAAGAAGTCTAACAGCTAGGCAAAGAAACATCTACTTGCTTTGCTAGAAGACGGCGGCCAGGGGTTCTTTCACAAATACTTATCCTAAAACAACACATAAGCACTACCTCCAAATGAGGATCTAAATTAGGTATTAAATTGCTTTGAATATTCCTAAATTGAGGTGTTCACTTTTCAATCCTGACAGATGTTGAGTCCATTACAATTTAGAAACAGAAGGCAGACCTCTTCCAGTGACAAATTCAGCTTCCATTTTTTTTTTTTCTAAGTACTTTCCTTTGGAAAAAGCACCATTCTCCATAAGAGAAAGGCTAATAACTGCATTCAGCCACAAATGAGGGAGCTACCACTGCCTGGACCATATCAAATTTCAAAGCACAGTTGCAAGGAATTGCTTACTACTCATGCTAGTGGTGTTAAAGTAAGTGTCCAAGGAGCACGTGATTACATTTATTCAGTAAAATATTCAGCTTTTATGAGATGTGATACTTACGCTTTTTTAATATCTTCTGGTGAGGCATGCTTCTGCACTCCCAGAACTTCATAGTAATCCACCATGTTTCAGAAGATTTCTTTGTTAACAACAGCTGGTCTTTAGAGTCCTGCAAGAACAACAACTTGTAAAGGAACCTTGTACAGCAAAAATACTTCATAAAAATCAGATAGGAGCCTGGTGTCTTCTGGTAACACATCTGACCTTATAGAGCTACTCAGTATTATAAATTCAGATGTTCCAGACACACATGTGCCCAATTATCTTATTCCAGACTGACAGATTGAACAATTACTCTGGTTGTAAGTTTGGGTTTATGTTCCTTAATTCTACTGCTACACAATGTACACAGATTTACCCGAACAGCAGGTGCCTGCATCACACTGAGAGGAACATGCTCTGTGTATCTGAATGCAAAAGCAAGCATATAACAAGCTCCCCTTCTGGCACTCACAACACCTCTTAAGGACATATGAGCATAAGGAAAAACTGCAATATTTCACATCTCCTTTTCAAAATATTGCTTCCCTTGTGATGCTTATTTCAAGAAAAGCCACGTGTGTGCAGCAATTCTCAGAAATCTAAGGTTGTATCTCATCTCCCATTAGTCTTCCTTATATTCAGACCTTGACAGGAAAAAATCATCATTCAACAAGTTGCTAAGTTCCATTTTCTGCCTCTATGGCTACTAACTAAACATACAACCTGGCAATCAAACTGTAAGATTAACAACCTAAAGAAAGAAAGCAAGGGTTTAAAGAAAAAACAACAGCAACTGAATCACAGTATTTTATAGTATGTGAGAATAAAATTCACAAGTTTCACAAGAGCTCTAAGAAACCTACAAGTTAAAAGAAACAGCAGTGGCCTTCTCCAGGCTGAAGAGTGACAGCTTCATGTCAATACTAATGGATTGTTATCTTGAACAGTCATCACAGAATGGGTGAGGTTGGAAGGGACCTCTAGAGATCATCTAGTCCAACCCTCTGCTCCAGCAGGGACACCCAGAGCACGGGGCACAGGGCGGCATCCAGGTGGGTTTGGAGACCTCCAGAGAAGGAGACTCCACAGCCTCCCTGGGCAGCCTGTTCCAGGGCTCTGGCACCCTCACAGCGAAGAAGTTCCTCCTCACATGCAGATGGAACTGCCTGTGTTTCAACTTGGACACACTGTCCCTTGTCCAATCACCGGCCACCACTGAGAAGAGCTTGGCCCCTTCCTCCCTACATTCCCCCTTTATGTACTTATACATATTAACCAGATGCCCTCCACAGCCTTCTCTTCTCTAATTAAATTATATAATTTTATTTAAATAATAAATTAAGTTTACTACATTTATTTTAAATTAATTGTTAAATGATATTAACCATTATTTCCACTAAAAGGCCCTTCAGTCTAAAAGATTTAGACTTTTAAGTCTATTTAATGTCATAATTTAAAGTCATATTAGTGATATTTAATCTTTTACCGTTAAACTTCCTCTTCCTGTCACTGTACCCAGCCCCTGCTCTGCCAAGGTTTCCAACCAACTATTACAGTTTTATCAACACGGCAACACTGGCATTTTCCACCAGTTATTGACTCCCAAAATATAAAATTGGTCAAATACACTTGTAAAAGAATACAGGGGAAAAAAAGAAAAAGAAATAAAAAAGAAAAAAAGTATTACGTCCAGGTTTTCTTATCCGTGTGTCAGGAAAAAAAAAATTCTGAAATGATGTTCTTTCACTTGCATCATCCAATACTTTTCTTTTTAAAGCCAGGCAAGGTTTTATTTTCTAGCCTTTTTAAAAGCCCTCATAGAATAAATCCCAGTATTTTGAAATTAATATACTAGTATTACAAATATCTTTCAACATTCTGGGACATAAACAAAACATTAAAGGGAGACTTCCTTCAAGTGATTTGTACATTTTCAAAATACATGGCCATTGCAGGTTAAAGCCTAATTAATTCTAATTAGGGATGTGGCTGCATAAACATTTCCTCAAGTGGCAAAGCCAGTTTAAGAGGTAACTTGCCACATTAGCTCTCCTCTGCAAGCTGCTTACAGAAGCAAGTGCTGCACTAGGTACCTTTTAAAAACTTGGCTGAACGTGGGCCAAAACACCGTGTTTGGTCACTGTACAACCCCACAAACACACAGCGCACGAGCACAGCCGCTCACAGGCCACACTTTGACTTTGCAACCTGAAGAAATCTTTATATTAACTGTGCCCTTAATGGTGATGTTGTGCCCAATGTATAATGTAATATTACATAATATGCAATGTAAAATTACACATTACATTATGCCAACACTAAAATAATAATGACAGGCTTGACTACTTAAAAATACGGGCTAGCAAAAAACATCCTAGGATATTTCCAGCTGGCCCAACTAGATTTATTTCCCAAACAATGATTAGAACAGCTCTGTGAATAGATCAGGAACATTTTAATCATGGGTTAAAGATGTTATCAAACCATGGTAGCCACTTTTAAGCAGTAACATATATGGGACACACAGCACATAAAGAAACCAGAAGCAAAGTCCTTGGGCTTTTAGCTACCGGGTTGCTCTGGTGTCAGTAGCTTGGCCAGGAGCACAGCACAGAAATAAAATCTGGTGCAAGACAAGCTCAAGGCTAGAGGTCAAAGCCTCTCCTAACAAGAAATACAAAGCCCCAAAACCAGGGAGCTAACAGCAGGAAGCCACAGCACGGAACACACAATCATACTTTTAGTTGTTATCTCCATATTTCATCTTCCTTAAAGCTAACATTAGTGTTAGTACTGCCCTCAATGTAGAGGGGGGTGTCTTAGAGGTGGAAGTCAAACATCAATATTCTAGCTGGAGCAAGGCAGGTGAAAAAGCAACCATCTTAATTGTAGACACAGATCCCAGCTTTTCCAGAGCAATTAGTGAATGTTGCTCACAAAAGCAGCCATTGATTTATCTCTTCAGACAGTCAATACATTAAACAGCAGGTGCTCCAGTGTCATAAACTGAGATTCAATACATCAGTTTTTATACATATATGAATATAATCTAAATAAAGGAGCCTTAAATTTCAACTAAATACAAGCATTGCAGCAACATGACTAGCTCTTGCTAGAGCACTTACTCTGATGAAGATTTTACTAATCCTAATAAGCACCTACTCTAGGAGTAATGGGATTATTTGCTTCCAAGACACATCTGGGGACTGCATGCTCAAAAATCGGTTAAGGGCAGCAGGAACCTGCTTGGTGAAATGCACACACACCTCCAAGAAACAAATCACAGAGCTTCCTGCTAAGGGAAAAACAAAAATACACAACTGTCCTAACCCAAATGACATGAAACAAAATCTCCCAATCTCAAATCTGTCAAACAACTTGTCTCCAAAAACACAAGCAAAGGTCATTTAACTAGCCACTGAGACACTTTTCCAAAGTCATACGGAAATCAGCCCACGTCAATTAATTTCCTGCCTCCAAACTACAAGAAAACTGCAAGAAAAATGCAAGAAAACTAAAGATGTAAACCTGTTTCAAGTCTTTAGCACTGGCTTCAGGGGTCCACACTTATTCATTATGCCGCTATATGGTTACAGAACATGTTCTCAGCTAACTCAACTCCTCTACAGCAGCAGCAATTCAAACAGCCAAACACTTGTGTGAATGGAAGGTTTTACTAACTTATAACTTATGGATTTAAGTCTCTGTGAACAGAGTTGGAGGAGTCAGCTCTGCTCTCACTTATCCTACAAAAGCCCTGGGTGTTTCTATCTAGGATAACACTAGGAACCCAAGAGCAGCTGGAAACCTCTCGCAGTACAGCCCGAAGCTGAGCCTGCTAACAGCCTTATTGAAACGAGCCTCACGCACTCCCTGCGCAGTCAAGTCCTCAGCTACCTAAAAGGCACGAGAAGAATTACAAGCCAAGCAAAACCGTTGCAGAGGTAAACTTGTACCAAGCCAGATGACAGAGAATTGAAGTCAGATGCACAACTTGAATCACCTTCAGTGATGACAGCAGAACAGTGCTAATTAAGTTCCGAGAAGAGGAAAGTATCTAAATGAGAAGTTCTTAAATCAGCCAGGAGCGAATTCTGATGACAACAACACGCATGTGACCTTTGCGGTTAGCTCAGTCAGAAAACGTTATCTATTTCTGGCCATGAAGCAGTCGGGCAGCATGGAGAGTCCTGAAAGACTCCAGGAAGAGCTGAAGGATGAGAGAGATCCAGTTCCAAACTCCCAACGCACACAGCAGCAGCCAGGCATCCACATCCCATCCAAGTGCCACACAGCCTTTCCACCACCAGCACCCACCTGCCTCTTCACCCTGATGGCAACACAGGAGAGGTCCCGTCCCGAATCCCACTCCAGTTGAAGCCAAAGTCTGATCTGTTCAACAGCAACAGACCAATGTGGACACCTCTGGCAGGTGGCTAAGCAATGGACACCTTCAGAATTTGGGGGAATTACAGTCTAAAGCTAAATAAAATGCAAGTTCATTTTTTTTTCCCACATTTCAAGAGCTTATTAGACAGCTACATAGCCCCTAGTGCCAGACCCAATGAGATTTTACACTCCTTTAAGCTTGAACAAGACTCCATACTGCAGTGGATCCAAGATTATGCAAGAACGGCAACATGGTACTTTCTTTCATCTGATTTGCTATATAACAAAGGTATCTTTGCTGAGCCTTTTTYTTTTTAAAAAAAAAAAAAAAAAAAAAAAACACTCCAGAGGATTAAGAGTCCCATACTTACATGAAATTCAGTCATCTCCCTTGTTCACACGTGAAAGATCTTGGATTCACGCCATGAATTATAACCACTAGTGTACCCTATCCTCAGGATAAAGGTCAACCATAAAGAACTGACCATCTCTGTATCAGCCAAGGCTTTCAAGTTTTATGTTTCTACCAGTGGTCTTGAGAAGCCTTAATGGCACGAATTGCTGCCTTTTAAAGAGAGAGATTGCTGCCTTTTACAGAGAGAGATTGGTAACCCAAACTGCTCACTGGTGTCATCCTACATCAAGTCCCCAAGAGAAAAAAAACATCTACCTACAGCTCCTCAGGGCAGAACACCTCTCCTGACAACCAAATGCATTTTACTTAGTGCAACTCTATACATTGCTGAGTTATTCATCTCCCAAAGTCATTGCTAAACACTTAAAATACAGGATCTTGGTCAGTCTAGCAGCGGTGTCTGGGATGTGCCTGGAAGGGGACAGTCAGCAGGCACGGGAAATGTTCAGGAACGGAAGGTCCCCTGTGCTAACACAGCATAAATACATCCCCCCACCCTGTATATCAGACCGTTTCAGTGCAAGGAGCTTTTAAAACTGCAAAGGAACTTAAAGAAAGTTGCCTTCATTCTGATGAATGCAGTAAACAAAGCAAGAATGACAAGCATTAGGAAAGCTTTAAGATGATTAATTTGAGAAACATATTTAAATAATGCATTAAGATCAAATTTCTCTTTCCACTGCTCGGCTCCCAGCACAGGGCACAGACTAAGATGTCTTTAAATCATTAGTAATTGCACTGCCATCTATCTGAGCTTCATCCATAAAGGTAACTTGGGCAGAAGTTGGAAAGTTTTGGAGAACAGAGTGGATTTGAATACAGTGATTATTGTAAGAGGCGATACAGTCTAAAGGGGGAAAACTATCAGCCCGATTCAATGAAAAACAGCCACCTCCACAGGGCTCACAAGGTGTTAAAGAACTGCCCTCCCCGACAAGCGAAGGGTGCAACAGCCAACAGCTACAGACCCTTGTTGTTCATGTTACTGGCAGTTTCACAGATATTTTGTTGAAGATAATAAACAAGAAAACACTTTAAAAAAGCTAGTTTACAAAAACTGTGAACTAAAGAAAGCTGACGTCTTCCTCTGTGAAAGAAATTTTAAAAGCAGCTAGCATAAAATAGAAAAGGAAGTAGACAAGTGAAGAAGCTGCCCTCATACTCTGCACTGATACTCTATTACTTATCTTATCTCTGATCATGCTTTGGATCAATAGGCAGTTTTTCCAAAGCACAACAATTCAGGTGTCCAAATTTGGAATTGTGTCACATAAATATCTGAAGCAATGGTACCTTCTTCAAAGCAACCATAAAAGGCTATTTTATGCACAGTAAAAACATTCCCAAATCATTTTTTAACATGCCCAATCTGTGTTTGATTAAGCTTTTAAAAACAGCAAAAAGCCTCTCCTGGCAAAGACTGGGTCCCATGTCAGCCAAATACTTGCAAACAACCAAAAGATCTTCCAGCGAAATAAAATAGTTTAAAGTTTCTAGACACTTTCCCTGAACTAGCTGTTACCATAATTTTACTTATACCAACCAGCAAAACAACATGAACATTCCTTTTTTCCTCCCCCCCACAAAGACAGACTTCATAGATACAGGCTGCATGTTAGGATGAAAAAAGAATTTTTACTAATCAAAATTTTTTTTTTTTTTGCATATAAGCTTTTAAACATTAACATTAAACACTAACCGTTCCACAAACTATCTTCTTTCTTAAAAGAGGGAAAATAGAGCTGTAGTTTAATATGAACTACAGGACACTTCAGAATAGGCTTACATGCATCAAAAGAGCTGTAAACTAGCACAAAAATTAAATAAAACACCGACAGGGACACACAAAAGACAACTTTTTATTACAAACAAATCTATTTTGATACTGGTTAGCTTGTCACAACTTCAAACTTAATAGTAAATATGGACTTCGGTATAGATTATTAGCCTCCTTTAAACAATCAAAAAACAACTAAAGAGCCCAAGCTACTTATTTCAAAGAAGAAATTTTAAAGAAGAAACACTTAAATTTTCAGATCAACAAAGATTCATAGACTGATTCAGATCAACAAATATTCAGATCAACAAAGCAGAACAAAGATACCTGCCTTTTTTCCCCTATTTTCAATTAAATGATTTCTTAATTATCAACATAAATACAAAATCTGCTGTGCAGAAAAATTTCAAGACCAATTTAAAACTATTAAATGTTGATAAGGGCTCAAAACTAAGAGACCAAGAAAGAACTTAAAAACCTGAATCCTTATTTTCTTCTTCCATCTAGGAAAAAAAAATGACCTGGGATTCCATCCATAGGTCAAAATTACACTTGGAATTTTTTGATATTCCTGATTTCAAACTTCAGGTGAAGGACTAGGTCCTTCACATCAATGGAATTTTGTTTGCCATTCAGAATCAGCAGAAAAAAAAAATTAACCTACAGTTACAAACTGAGAGAGTGAAGTCTACAGGCATGAATTACTCCTCACCTAGTAGTTAAATAACCAGAAACAGAATTACCCTTTCATTACACCTAAATTGGAGTCCAACATCCATTCAAATATCATGCAAAAGTACAAAAAAAAGAAATTTAAATGTAATATCAAATGTAATATCAAATATAGCAATTTTGATTTACATACATCTTGAAAAAAAGCGTTAAGTTTTGGCAGAGCTACATAGATTTGCACTAGTCCTTCCATTCCCTGAATAAACCAATTTCCTTTATAGATAAAAAAAAAAAAAAACATTTTCTGTTACCAGGAAATTACTTTAGGACACAGCTGATTAGCTTCCTCACTAATGCTACTAAAAATGCATCGCTTGCTACAAAAGGAGAAGGACGGTGGAATATTAAACACGGCACAAAGCTCAAAATCCAGCTGCACCTCTGCATTTGCTATCAAAGCCACCACCATACGCAGCGACAAGTGCAGCGCACCGACTCGATGAGCAGGCCCCTGTGCCCAGGGCGCAGGACGGAGAAACGCGGCGGCTGGGGCACTGCAGCGGCTCCAGCACCTCCAGACCCACGAGGAAACCGCCAGCCCCCTCCCTGCCGTCCTGCGTGGGCCCCGTTCCGAGGCCTCTGCGGGCCGCTGATGTAAGCAGGGATCTATGAGCACACAGCTGGAGCTTTCAGCTGCAGAGACAAATAGGTATTTCTTTCCCTAACACCGAGAGCTCTGACACTGACATAACATGTAAAGTCTTTTCTGCTCTTCGGGTACTTTTCCAAATTTCTGGTGGGTGAGACTAAACAGGAAGTATGGAAATAACAAAGATTGAAAAATAAAATAAAGGAGACACAAAACAAGCCTTCTCCCTCCCTTTTTTTTTTTTTTTTTTTGAAGTGAAGTTTCCTCCCAAAGTTCAGCCAAGTTTAATTAGCCAGCTACGTCAATCTCAAGAAATGTAAGATGTTTCAATCTCAAGAAACATCAAATGTTTCAGTAATAATGAATTAAAGAGGTAAGCTTAACAATTTCTCTATCTATAAACCATCATTTTAACTGCCCCTCCAGTGTCACAGGTTTTTTAAGAAAACTTAATCCTAGATTTATGATTCAGAATGTCTCATTTTCCAGCAAAGAGGCAGCATAAGAGCAAAAACCAAGGAACTCATAAAAAATAAACTAATATTGTGCACTACTTACCATTTTGGTTGTTTTGAAGAAATAAATTACAAAAAAGTAACTGCAGAGACAAAGTTTTATAAACACATTTGCTCACTGGTTCAACAAATCTTCTTTGACAACATAATCCAGCAAACTAAATGGCACTTAAACCATCAAGCTCTTGATTCATCAACTGAACATAAAATCCTTCCTGACTGGAGAACATGAAGTAACAAGGAATAAACAAAAGTTAAATCACAGAATATTCAAGGTTGGAAGGGACCTCTAGAGATCATCTAGTCCAACCTTCCTGCTCAAGGCCATCAAGCAGCAGTAACTGCAATCTCATAGGACCAAGGAGTTTAAGCCTAGTTTGTTCCAGTTGTTTGTACAATATTATTATCCTGTCCTCATCGCCGTTTTCTGCTTTATATCATAAAGTTAAAAAAAAAAATCAGTTTCGATTCTGACTGACTCCGCAGTGTTGGAAGTTTGACCACCTGCATCTTAGTATCACTGCAAATTTAACTTCTCTGAAGCTATCCTGGCCAAAACAGAACCAAGAAACTTAGTGGTTTCAGCCTGTCCTAAAGCCTCCTGCTTGGCAGCACACAAGTTCAGCAGTCAACGCAGTTAAACCTTAATGTCCTGTTGCTACAAGCAAGAGCTCCGGCCATAAATAACTTCCCATCCCAACTCCCGGCCCTCTCAGAAGTCCCGCAGCCCCTGACGACACCAACCATCTGCCTCCTTTCGGGGACAGTTTTCAGAGCCGTTTATAGCTCAGCCACCTCAACAGCCGCCGCCTTTCACACAGCACATCGCACTGACCCGATTCCGAGTTACTAACCTCAAAAAAGAATTCAGTTTCTAGTAAGTAAAAAACAAATTCAGAAATCCGTCAAAGGTACTTCCAGTTCATAAACACGCCAGAAAAGCAGTTAAAAAGATATTTCAAATACGTAGGAGTGAGTGTTGCAGGGGGGCCCCCCCCTCACCCGTTTCCTACTGACAACCGCCGTTAGCAGCAAAGCAACGCGCGGTTTTTCCGCGGCCGTTCCCGAGGCGCAGCCGCCGCGGGACCCGCCGTGCAAGGCGCGCACAGCGCAGGG